AAAACTGAAGGAGGGTCTAGGCCCGAAACGTCAGCCTTCCTGCTCCTCTGATGCTGCTTGGCCTGCTGTGCTCATCCAGCTTTACACCTTGTTATCACTTTAAAAATAATTATACAGTTAAAGTATGAAAAAAATAAAATCTACTAATAAATTGTTCCAATTCATTATAGTTACTTGTTTAGGTCATCAGAAATGTGATTTAACTTACATGTGCCACTGAGGTGAGGAATCAGATGATTAGCAGCAAACAAAACCAGCAGACATGCAAAAGATGCATAGATGATAATACAAAGTAGAACAAGATTGAAAAACTGATTTAATTCACCTATTGATGATTTTTATACCAACTTCTATGACTTAAAATGATAAATTCCTACATTCATGAAAACAGCCAAAGAACAAGTAATTGTTTATAGATGTGGTCATGTAAATGCCCATCACTGCTCCTGGTAGATTTAATTATTTTTAATGATCATTACATTAAGGTAAAAAGTCTGCACTTGCGAGTGTTCCAAACAAAGATAACTCAATGCCTGAATATAAACCCATTCCAGCTTTACATGAAGTAAGTGTATGCAACAAAAATGCTATCTTGTGCTATAAAAAAATCCCATTCTGTCCAAAAAGACTTCTCACTATCTCTGAGACATTGATTGATAAAGACTCCATATCTAACAACTTGAATAAAGCATCAGAGGAGAACTGTGGAAATACAAAACTGAAGCCATTGTCTGCATTGCCTCAGCTCATGTGCTGTTGAAACCCATACCTTTATTGCTTCTAGATTTGACTACTACAATGCTCTCCTTGCTGGTCCTCAAACTTCCATCCTACATAAATTCAAACTCATTAAAAACACTGGTCCCAGGATCCTAACTCTCACAAAATCCCATACACACAGCTGTGACCTAAATTAACTCCCGATTTAGCAATACCCTCCTTTTAAAATCCTCGTCTTTGTTTTCAAATTCCCCCAGAGCCTCACCCTTTCCAAACTCTAACTTCCTCCAACTCTATAAGCTCAGATTTCTGCGCTCCTCCAATTTGGCAATTCAAACATGCTTGGTTTTAATTGTGCCACCATTGGCAACCATATCAGTTGCCTAGGTCCCAAGCTTTAGAATTCACTCCCTAAATTTCTCTGGCTTCTTGTTCTCCTTGAAGAGGCTCTTTAACGTTTACCTCTTCAATCAAACTATTGATCATCTATCTGACTATTTTCTTATGTGGCTCAATGTCAGATTTTGTTCAATAGAAAATTACCATGCAATTGTTGTTCCTTAAGTGATCACGCTCCATAGAAATCATTGGGGATCTGTACTTGAGTAGAGGAGTTAAAACCATCAGGAAGGAAGAGGAAAAAAATAGAGGAGTTGCAAGTGACATTCAAGGCAAGAATACAGGAAGATGGAGTCTCAAAATATCACTCCTTTCCCACTGCCAGTTATTTTTGCCAAAGCAGGTTTGAGGTTTGCAGACTGCCTGACACCATAAAGTGGGGAACAAATTAGGCTCATTGAGACCCTCATAAAGCACATTTATTGTCGCTTGATTGGATTTTCCAGCCTGTCTGAAATTTCCTGACCTATTTTTTGGTGGGGATAGAAAGAGGACTTTTAGCTGCTGGACTCAAACACCCACTTGTAGTACTGAGGGTTGAGCTTCAGGCAAACCTATTCCTATCTGAATAGGTGACGGTACAGCTGGAGCCAAAGAGGGTTCTCATGTAACAACCCCACACCACAGTGGTTGCCTGGTTGTTTCATGTGTTTTTTTTTTAAGTAAATTTTTTGAAAGGTTGGTGAGAGGCAACCTCCTATTGAAGCACTCTCCCAGTCACATAGCATTGAGTTTGAATTGCAGACTGCTGTTCCTCTCAAGGAGGGTGGCCTCTGATTGAACTTGCAGTCTCAGCTTAAACAGCTAACACACTGCCCTTGATTGGTTAGGGAAATTATCTGCATGCTATGAAGGAAATTCCTCCATGGGACGAGGTTCAAACCCAGAACATCCCTGACTCTTGTTACCTATCCCAAAGCAAAAAAAAAATTCCCACATCTTTATCGTTCATTCCAAACATCTTTTTAAGAGATAACAAGTATCTTTTCAAAGCTAGGTACTGACACTGGAGTACACTGATAGAACATGTATCAAACTGGCTACTTTCTTGTACGCACCACCACTTAAATACTTCAGTCCAACATAAAGGACATTTCACACAAACAGTAATCAATCAAGAGAAATGAATGAGTGTAAAATATTCACAAATCCCTAAAAAAGGTACCTTGCATTATAATTTAGGTGATTGCAAAGAATTGTGGTGCTTTCATAAGTGGAATAGTCCATTCTCATCAGTGAATTTTCATAAAATGTATCAACTAATCATGCCCAATTCAATATCTAAAATATGAGAACATGTTGAATCAGTCAGATAAAATAATTGTGAAAATATCCTTTAAATCGGGATAATTTTCAATAGATATTGGATAAAATTACATGACACTTTTCATTGAAAGTTTTGGAACTGAACAGAAGTCACTTAATTTAAAAAGTGATCTCTTTATTAATAGCGTAACTATCAATTTAAAACCCGTAACTTCAAACACCGAATTGCAGATTGGTAACACTAGATATGTGCTCCTTAGCTGTACATCAATCCATGTCTAAAGTTCCATTCCCACCTGTTAAATTGTTTGATATTTTGAGCATGTCTGCTTTTTCAAAACTTTACAGATTCGCAGAGGTTTCAGAAGTGTGCAAATCAGTGCAGTTAATTCCCAAAAACTCAATATATTTTTAAAATTTGGCCTCACCAACCAGTGCCCAAGTAGTCTCCATTCAAGAGGTGTTGTGCTTCTGAGCTTCAGAATTAGGTCAGGATCTATGTCACTTTGAAGCAGAGCTCACCTGACAGGGAAAAACATGACTGCGACATGTAGTGGTATGACTGCAGTCTTCTTTGTAAGTTCTCTGCCCAAAGGCAGATCTGACTTACAGTGCTGCTGCAAACAAGAGTAAGAGGGCAGGTCCTGAGTCCACCCCAGCTGAAATGAGGATTCAACTTTGGGTATCAATTTGATCCACACCAGCTGCCCATGAAACTGAGCCAACTAAGTTGCCTAAGGAGTCCAAGTTATGATGGCCACTTTTATATGCATATTGCAGTCCCAGAGCTGGCACACAATGGAAGGATTCACAGGTTAACACTCAACATGTTTGGTCACATTATGAACATGCCTTCCTCAGCCATTGACTCCTGGAATGGGATTTGAACCTGGAACGTTTGACTCAGAGGAAGGGATTCTACTGTGCACCATTAGCCCTCCTTGCATGACTGCATTATAAAGTCAAAGATTAGTAAAGTATCCGAAGTACAGTATAATGATACATTGTTGATAAATATTATACATCTAAATCTTCTTTTATTTAATTTTTGTTCTTTTTGTTATTGGATCAGGTAATGCCTCTTATTTTAGCATATCTAATTTTAACAGCAATTTTACTAGAATGAGTGTGCTACACGGATCATTCATGCAAAAGGAAAGGTAATGTTTAATGCCAATAAAGTTATTCCGCACATATCAGTGCCATGGTCAAGTCTATCATAAACAAATTTATTTAGGTTTTTATTCAAATCAATACAGAACAAGATTTCACTGCACAGTATATGTTTTTAAGTTCTCAAGCTTAAATACTCAATACAAGGAAATAGAAGGTGATTATCTTGTTACAGTATGATATATAACTCAGATACAATGATTCTAAACAGTAAACTTTCAGATAAGCACGCCAGATAGTTACATTTACGCAGGAAAAAGATGTTTTCTATTGTAAAGTAAACAGGATTACAATTGGCAGACAGAGGCACCTACCAAAACCATTAACCAGCACTGTATGCATTGCTGAATAATTGTTTTCCAAATCTATTTATTTTCCTTCTGGAATTTGAGCTTCATCAAGAGTGCAGGAATTTATTAATGTGACAGATAAAGACATTAGTCTTTCCCATACTACTTTTTTTATAAATGGCAATGAAGTGCAACATGTTTGGTCACAAGGACATTAACTGGTCAGACTCTAATAATCTATAAAATAAAATTATAAACATGGGTAATTGTATATCCAAAATTTGAAATGATGAGGATTCAACTCTAGGCAATTTGATCCACTTCAGCTGCCCAGACAATCGAGCTAAATAACTTGCCCAAGGATTCCAAATTACAGTGGCAACGTGCACTTTTACACGCATGTTACAATCCTGAAGCTGGCTTACGATGGAAGGATTAACAGGTTAACACTATCTATACAATGATGTCAACCACTTGTTTTCACGTTATGACATCGCAATTCACAACATGTAGTACTCTGAGATAAAACCAGAACTCTGACATCAATGTAACCACAATGCAATTCTTTCTAACTGTTCATATGTAAAATATCAAGATATGATAAAAATTAAATATTGGATGAAAAGCTGGCAATATATGTTATTGCTGGTATTGTCCAATTCATTTTTTTTTTGCCCATCATATTGGAGGAAGAAATGTCTGATCTCAGCATACATTTTAACCATGTTACACTCAGAGATTGTCATGTTGCACTGAGGAATTTCTAATCTTCAATAAATGCATTGGTCAGTGCAATAGAACAGTCTGGATCTGTGTTTTCATGGAAAAAGAAAATGATTCATATACAAAAGTAAAAATTAATATTTAATATAGAATCCTTTCCTCCAAAAAAATCAATCGTTGAAATTTTAAAACTAATTTTAGATTCTGTCTGGCATATTTCAGAATGAAATTATGTGGTAATTTTGAATCAGTGCCTGCCTGAAACGGTATCTTATAAGCTTCTTGTTGCATATACTCTACATACTGAAAAATCAATTTACCTTGACTTGATTTGTAACGGTCAAGTGGAGTTTAAAATCCAAACTGTGCACCATTGTAAATTCAAATCTTCAAATCCAGATTGTGCCAATTGTGGTTAGAAATTACAATCTCTCAATTTTGCTATGATTTGGAACTTTGTTCATTTTTCAAGATGGTTATTTTATTACTACTTTTCAAATTGTTTACTGTACAGTTTAAGTTTAGAAATAGATGCAATGTCTCCAGTTAGGAACAATACATAGGTTCTTATACAGTCCTTCATGAGCTAAAAATAAAGTGTTACTCAGATCAAGTTAGATTTTATTAGCAAAATTCAGAATTGGCTGAATCTTCAATGCTTAAAATATATTCAAATGCCACTTTCTTTACATTTACTTGCAAATTCTAAATCAATCACACTTTCACCTTTAAAATTTCAAATATCATAAAGCTTCAGTGACAAACAGAAAAATGTAAATCATGTAAATTGTTTCACTGTTCTTATCATTGTTTGTTATATCCTAATGTCCCAAATTTGGCTGCTTTGCCCAATTACACAAATGAAATGTGTGCTAGTTATTTCAATATAGAAGCCTTCAGTATCATTGATACAATCACCAGTTTACATCAATATATGTCACTGCTAGTATTGTCCAACTCTTTTATTTTTTTTTGCCCATCATATTGGAGGAAGGAATGTGTGATCTCAGCATACATTTTAACCATGTTACACTCAGAGACTGTCACGTTGCACTGAAGAATTTCCAATCTTCAATAAAGTATTGCATTGGTCAGAGCACTTAGCACAATCTGGATCTGTGTTTTCATGGAAAAAGAAAATGGTTCATGTACAAATGTAAAATTTAATATTTAGTAGTTAATATAGAATCCTTTCCTCCAAAAACTCAATCCTTGAAATTTTAAAACTAATTTTAGATTCTGTCTGGTATATTTCAGAATGAAAATATGCGGTAATTTAAACAAATGTAACTAAAAATTTAACTTATCTAAACTGCATTGTAAAAGTCCAGAACAAGAGGAGAATATTTATGGAAAATATTTTTCCATTCACTGAATGGTTTTAACTAGCTTAAACTGCTGCTAATGTGGATAGGTACATGAATCATGAAGTAGCACAATGTACCACAATTGTGTCAACAGTAATGAAGGTCAAAATGATGAACGACCATAACATAATGCGCCCACATTCGTAAATCACACATTTCTAAAATTAAAACTGTAAAAAAGCTACAGTACTTATAAACAATTAGGTCAGAATTGCTTTTTTTCCCCAGAATACTCAAGACATCTTTGCAATAATTGTAGCAATTATATAGAACACCTCAGTCTTATTAAAACTAAACATATACAAGATCCAAAATAAGAAGTGAAAAAAAGTCCTTTAATTCATAACAGAAAAAGACACTATGTTTATTTTAAATAAACGCACTTCACAGAAAGCTAATTGATATCACTTAAATGTTACTGATTAGACTCATCCGAAACAAAACTTAAGAAAAAATGTGATTTAAAATTAACAACAGTCATATGAAACTTTCCTGTACTTATTTTTGTCTTGATTTTTCTACTTGAAAATGGACAAATATGGATTAAACAGCTGAATTGGTCAAACGACGAAAGGTTTTAGTCACCAAAGATTATTCAACAAGGTTTAGAAAGTTTAGCAGCCACTTGATTATCCCATTCTCCTTTCCTATCTAATAGTACAAATACAAAAACAGTTTTAAAGTGGTTACATATCTGAAATCGATACAAACTTTTAGGAATCATGTTACTGTGTTTAAACTTTTATATTTTTTTATCTGCTAAAAGGCCAAAATTTAATAGACAATTTTACCCGAGATAGGACAAAACTACTATACATGTTAATGATTGTTAACAATTGCTAATTCTATCGAAATAGCAGTGCTCAAATTTCCCTTTATTATTGATCAAAATGACCTAGTACTGTTGAATTATTGAACAAGACCTTGCCAATAAAATGGTGCCAACACTTGTTATAGTGAAGGATTTTAGTAATGTTATCACCTGTCCAGTATAAATAAAACACCTATGTGTTTACAGATATGTAGAGGCCAGCTTGTTTATATTTTAGCTCGATCTTCCTCACCAAACGCACCACCCCCAACCCCAAAACTTTGGATTTGTATGTTTTTCTCTCTAAGACCTTGCAGATAAAGGTGCTGCTCCTCCCTCCTCGAGTACACGCCATAAACACACAGTAAGCTAAACAAACATGTTGTGGAACCATCAAAGTGAAAGCCAAGCCTCTCATATTGTATTTATTGTCAGGGAGCAGACCTCCTCTTCCCCAGGCTCATTAGTTGAAGTATGATGAGAGGTGGTAAAGAATGAATGCAGTTCAATTCATTGAGGGCTTTCAAGTGGCTCTCAAAATGGAGAGCTCTTTCTGTTTTTCTCCCTCGCTCATTCTCTCTTTCTAGAATCCTGCCTCAACGACCTGCCAATTTCTATTTAATGCGCCCACAAGGAAGTGCTGATGGACTAAAAAAAACATCATGCTAAAGGGTGGCTGATATGGTCGCCTTTAATTATTCACGCTAAGAAGACTGCATTCACAGGATCTGTGTCAATAACGTTTTCATAGCAATACGGTAAAGGTTTCAGGGCCAGCACACCTTTTATTCAAAAGCGTTAAATTGTTAAGACATTAAGAAAGTAATTTAATATTTCTTTACCAAGTTATAGAATGCCTAGAAAATGGGGTCCATAAAATGCGATGCAGTGCATACGCCATGGAAATCCGTAATGAAAAGTATAATTAAGGTCGGCTACTTTGCTTAAAGGGCCCTTGAATTAATAGACGTCTCCCTCATAACAGCGGAGTTGATCGTTTGGAACTTGATTATGCTACCAACTTTCATCAGTAACAAAGTAAATTATAGGAATAGTGATAAATCGGTTCTTTCGAATAATTCTTCTTAGCAGTATTTCAAATCTTAAATCATATAGGTGTTTTACATCGTACTATTTTGTTAAGTCCAACTGTACCAGAAGTCCTTTTCTTAAAAAAAAGAGAACCCGCTGGATTCGCCCCGCACCTTCTGTGGTTTTTCGACATGTGGCTCTACTAGCTGTCGTCAGCTGGAAACATTCAGTCTCACATCCTGCAGCAACAACGTGGCTACGGAGAATGTTTTGGTTTTAATGGAACAATAAATGAAATAAGTAGATGAAAATGAGACGAATCTATGGCTGAGTCTAATGTTTGGAACAGGGACAAGGCGGCTGCAAAGTGAAGCACGTCGGCCTGTCTCGCACCACGGACAAGCCCATAGTAAGGACGGTGTCCAGGTCGCGTGCTGAACCACCGTCCTGGAAGGAAATGAAAAAAAGCAGCTCTGGCCGCAGATTAAAGATTACAATTGCGCCTTTTGCTAACCAGTTCTGTAGCAATATAAAATCTTAAGATGCGCCGTGTTCCTTCCTCCAATAAAAGTTCTGTCTGAAACAAATGTTGAAGTTCTATTCTTACAAACCCACCGATTCACGGTCAGGGCTTGGGTTATAGAAAACGAATCTTAATGTTAGTGGCATATGTTCAGGCATATACTTCGAAAACACCCTCCTCGCTCCTGTTTATCGAAAAACACTGATATGCACGAAACCAAATACCAATTTGTCCAAAGTCGGTGAATTTACTTCATATTTATGAAGTCTACGTATACGTGAAAAAGGGGGATTGCGAAACGTTTATAATTAATTTAACAATTCAGTTCCTTTCGTTTTTATTTGTGACTAAACATAATACTGGTATACATTTTAAGAGCATCGCTATAAAGAACGTTCTCAATGTATTGACACAATTCAGATGTACCACATTATTATAGGTGCAGAATGAAGACTAATACAAACGCTTGGGTGTTGAGAAATAAATGAAAGCGCTTGTTTAGACCTAGTGTCAGACCAGACTGTCGTATGCAGCGGAGCCACTCTCGCAGCTCTAGCCCAGGATGTAGCCGAGTCCCTAGACCGGGCTTGAGCGATGGTGCAGCATTTGATCCAACCACTGGGCTGCGGCGGAGACCCCTGTCCGAGCCCGGGCGCTAGGCTGCGGCGGAGACCTCTGTGAAAGCTCAAGGCCTCTCCTCTCCAGCGGCTCTATCTGCGCGCCGCTGGCCCCGCTATTGACAGCTCGATCCGGATTGGTCGGAAGTAGCAGCACGTGCACGTGGGGCTGGGCCTCCCGCTGCTCAATGCGCATGTTCAGCTCAGAGGGGACCATTCATAAACTAAACTCTTCCACACTTCCTGAGCGTGGGGAAAGTGGCCCGAGGAATAAAAAAACAGTCCAAATCAGCAACCGGGGCAGAAAGAGAGAGAGAGAAATGAAAGATAACAGCAACATTTCGTCACTCACACTCAAAGCTTCAGAACAGCAACAATCGCCACTGCTAAAACCAGTTCGTTTTGAAGAAACAAGTTGCTAATTTGGTGGAGTTAGTTACTATTTGTATTTTGTTTTGCTGACTTCTCTCTAGTCGCCATCCAATTACATTTAATGCACTTGTTTCAAGTTTGTACCAGTGAAAAAGTGGGTGCCCACGGAGCATCGGGAAGCATTGGATTCCTCAACCTATTGCGAGACTCCAGTGTACAGCCCGGACCTGAGTCCCAACATGATCGCGGCTCAAGCCAAGCTGGTCTACCAGCTGAATAAGTACTACAACGAGCGGTGCCAGGCTAGGAAAGCTGCGATTGCCAAGACGATTCGAGAGGTGTGCAAGGTGGTCTCCGATGTCCTTAAAGAAGTCGAAGTCCAAGAACCTCGCTTCATCAGCTCTCTTAGCGAGATCGAAACGCGCTTCGAAGGCTTGGAGGTGATCGCTCCAACAGAATTTGAGGTGGTCCTCTACTTGAACCAAATGGGGGTCTTCAACTTCGTGGACGATGGCTCGCTACCTGGCTGTGCCGTGCTAAAACTGAGCGACGGGCGCAAGAGGAGCATGTCCCTTTGGGTCGAGTTTATTACAGCTTCAGGTTACCTGTCAGCCCGAAAGATCCGTTCCCGATTTCAGACCCTGGTAGCACAGGCAGTGGACAAATGTAGTTACCGAGATGTGGTGAAGATGGTTGCAGACACAAGCGAGGTAAAACTAAGGATCAGAGAGCGCTATGTAGTGCAGATCACGCCAGCTTTCAAATGCACGGGCATCTGGCCCAGGAGTGCGGCTCAGTGGCCCATGCCACACATTCCTTGGCCCGGTCCGAACCGGGTGGCCGAAGTCAAAGCTGAAGGTTTCAATCTCCTTTCCAAAGAGTGCTACTCCCTGACAGGTAAACAGAGCTCGGCAGAGAGCGACGCTTGGGTTTTACAATTCGGGGAAGCTGAAAATAGGCTACTGTTAGGGGGCTGTAGGAAAAAGTGCCTATCCATTTTAAAGACTTTGCGCGATCGACACCTCGAGTTGCCAGGGCAGCCCCTCAACAACTACCATATGAAGACACTATTACTCTACGAATGCGAAAAACACCCCAGAGAAACCGACTGGGACGAGTCATGCCTTGGCGACCGCCTCAACGGCATACTGCTCCAGCTCATCTCTTGTCTCCAGTGCCGGAGGTGTCCTCATTACTTTCTTCCAAACCTAGATCTTTTCCAAGGAAAGCCTCATTCGGCTCTGGAAAGTGCGGCTAAACAGACATGGCGATTGGCAAGAGAAATTCTTACCAACGCAAAAAGTCTCGATAAGCTATAGTAGAACTCAGCGAACATGTTCTACAATTAATGCAAGGCACACCAATTTGAACTTAGTTAATAATTAAAACAAAAAGACTTGAAAAGAAGCAAACGGACTAGAGATGAGAGAAATTCAAGGTACATTTTAAACTAAATGTTGACAGTTTTGTCTCGATGTTGTCAGCCTGTGAGGAACCTTTATTTAAAAATGCAGTCTTTTAAAGACTAAGAAAACTTCTGTTGTAAAATGTATTTTGCGTGCCAACTTCAGACTTTGTGCCCTTTAAATAAACGTGTACGGTAATAAAGTTATTTACCTGCATTTTGGCCCGTTAATTTACATCTGAATATTTTCACTTGGCTTCATTATTGATACATTTATTGCGTTTTGGCATGGGTCATTCCATAGTTACATTGTCCCACAATTGTAAATTAATTGCTGGCAAAATGTTAGAATTACAATCAGAAATACAATATTAAATTGCCTCGATAATTTTTGAAGTACTAAGAATTTGATTTCCTTCATCACTTTCAATATTTTTAACATTAAAATTAAATAAATTCAACAAATGTCATTTCAGTTGCACACTAATAATTAAAACGATTAAAAAACCTTTTTAAACAAAAAACTTTAGATTACTTTTATGTTGCTGTTGTTAGATCTCTGGAATTTCCTAACTCTATTAATGAGAGAAAATAAACTTTGCACAGCATTAAACTGTCGTGAAGTAATCACTGCTGAAATACGTTCGAAAGACAAAAAATGTCACTATTTCAAATTTCTTAGATAAGCGCATGTTAATTTTCCTCTGTCTAGCAAGTTCCATTGGAGGGAATCATATTGTAGTGAAAGTGCTGAATTAGAAAGGGCAAAGTCGGCCACGCTACAACTGTACAAGATTTAGAATAAAGACAGCACCTCTAATCAGAGAAGAAAGGCACCCAAAGGCACAAGAGCCATTTGATGCCATCGAAAAGGCTGCGTCACTGTAATTGAAGTGCCAGAGAAACTTTCAATCGAGAGAAACGAAGAACCTCTCTGGCAATGTCCCAGAGCACCTCCAGTCTATAAGGCCGAATCTTTACGTTTAGGCCGCAGTCTTACAAGAAGTCTAATTTTGCAGGACATTACTTGGAATATATAATGAGTTTGTACTAAAGTAATTCCAAATGAAAACTAAGTGTGGAGGGTTATTTCATAGGACAGGGAAATATTTATTAAAGGCCGTAGTTACTGTAATATTACAGTTTCATAGTACTGTCCACAGGTGTGTGGTGATTTTACAAGGCTAACATTTTTTTCAGAACTTCTCCTGAATTCATTTGAATTCTGAAAACATTGGCACGGTTTAAATTACAAATAACTATATTAGAAAACATAAATGTTACTCTCATTTTAGCTGCTAAAGATGCAAATACGGAGCATAATTTTGCGAATAGCACTTGAGTATTTGAGGAGCGTTTCAATTCTAAAAAACAACTAGGTGGACCTTTCAATAATTGGAAGTTAAAGTGATCATCATGAATATATTTAAAGTGAGGTGTTAGATTTGTTTTAAAATTGCGGTACGATATTAAAATTTGTTCAGCAACATTCAGAAATACAGTTTCACAAGAACGGGATTTTCATTATTTTTTTTAAAAAGTCTACTAACATTGAGGGGGGAACATGAAAGTCTAGGCAGTTCTTCGATTTTTACAGAATGATGATAAAACTGGGTAGTGAGCAAGATATCCAAATCAAATATGTCATTGTTTCCTGTAATTTATAATTTGAGAATTGCGTTTTCATTTTTAGACTTGGAAATAGCTATACAAAAAATATTTAGTTAAAATAAACCGAGCATTCAACAGGCTTTAGAACTTGTCTCATCTCAGTTTGCAGCTACTGTCGGTAATTAAAACACCAAACTGGTGTAAGTGTGAAGCCTGAGGTTATCAGCAGATCTTATCAGAGCTGGTAAGAGCTTGTCAGTCTGTTTTGGTTTCGAGTGTTAACGGCAAACAATAGCCTTTAAAAAGGATGCCCACGGCTATGTCACGATTGGGAAGAGACGGAAACGGAAAACATGTTTCACAAATAAGCTTCGCCGTCAGAATTAAGATCACAATTTAATTCTTGTATTGCTGATCTGTACATTTATCTTTCAAGAACCCTACAAACAATACTGTGAAATTAAGCCATTTTGAAGGCTGTAAAGCTGAGCTAGCATTTTATTAACTATTCTAACTGACTGGCAAGGGCTCTGTTGTCTTAATTTTAGAAATGAGTTGTATGCATGATTGAAGCGTGACCCGTGTTGTTATGTAAATTTCAACTAAAATCTAATTTAGTTATAGGCCCAGAAGAATTCAAAAATCGCAAATTACAAATAATCTTTGGAGCTGAGGTGTTAACGTTACTATTTTGGCGATTTGAATATTCCATTTCAAAAGCACGTTGTAGGAATGTGTTAAAAAATGAATGTACGTAATACTTGGCATGTATTTTCCCAGGATGATCGGAAGTGCCAGCTATTTTTCTAGTCACGGTTTCACATTGCAAGTTGCACAAATCTAAATTCCTTCTCAAACCTCCAAACCAGACACACGTGAAATATCAATAACAATGGTTTACGACGAGTTATGAATTATAGATTCTTAAGATACATTTGCTTTTACATAGTCAAGCGTGTTAAAAACGTAATAAGGAAAGTCTGGCAGTGAGTCTTGGTTTACTACCATATTTAACGGTTTATCACAATGCGTCTGTGTGAAAAACTTGCAGCATCCAGCAAATAACAATTTGCAGCTTGCTTTAACTTAAATTTAACTGGGTCCATGTTTTAAATTTGTTCCATGTCATTCGTAGTATTTAAACGCCAGCGCTACTATAATTTTAAATATTTAGAATTTGTTTGTGCATTAACAAAATGCTTTTTCGACTTTTTTCACATTTGAACGTGGCATTAAGCTTTTTTTTGAAGAAAGACTCTACCACATAAGGTCTAATACCTTTTAACTCTAAACAGGCAATTAAATGGTCATATGTTAACCCACAAACCCTAAAAAATACACCTCCAAGTACGGGACTGAACACCTACACAGCAATACCAGCGATATTCAATCATATTCCAGTATGCTTTCAGAAGTCTTTCTGAAAGCAGAACGCAGGCCCAAATCTGGCTGCTACTAAGAATGGTCAGAGTGGATACTGTGGAAATGGAGGGTAGACGGCCTTGTTGTGGAACTATAGTGAGAAACGTTTCAAGCTTTGGGGTGATTTTAGATCTGCAGCAACATTTTTCAACTTCAGAAATCATTAGCCGTACTCTTAAGGTGTGCGGCGCTAAAATTCAAGTCGGGTGGATACAATGAAATGGAGTTTTAAAATTAGTGCGGACTCATTCGAAGCTGAATTAATTTGAGCTCAATTCTTACTTTTACATTACACAAGCACAAATTCAGGAAGATTACAGAAATAAATGCTGTGCAATAAAAGTATTGTCATAAAACACTGGATTTTTTGAGAATGTTGAGCGAATACAAGAGACGAGGAAATTATAATTAGGATGACTGAACGATGTAGAATCAGCCATAGAAACTTTATGTACAATATTAGTATTTCATATTTATTTACATTTGGGGATAGGAAATTCATTCTAATTTCAAAATTGATACCTTCGTTCCTAAGTCGAACACTTATACACTTAAAACTTAGGATTTGCATGAGGCATTATTCTCGAAATGCAATGTAATTAACATATTAAAACAGCAAACCAATGAAAATGGTTTATGGTCTAAAACATTGGATTACAAGCAAAAGGTACAATTGCAATTTTTAAAATTATATAGTTAAGAGCCGAAACTGGACTTTGTACCACAAATCAGTCTTGGTAGTAAACATATACAATTAAAAATGTACTGCAATTACAGTAATGCTGTCTTTTTTAAGCAGCATGTGTTCGGATGCTAAGCCATTGCTATTTTGTCGCTTTGTACAGAATGCGAAAAATCGTGCCCGCTGATGTAAACGAGGCAACGTCATGTTCACCAGCAGCTGTTCTAAGGTTATAATTTCGTGTATTTAAGGACCGTAATTTTCTTTTTTTTAAAAAAAATGTCCCAGATGTGTCATCGCCGACTTACCTTGGGGTCTAGTTTTTTATAACTGGGATCGTCGTCGTCTACCTCGAAGTAGAGCTCAGAAGAGGTGATTGACAGCGTTCCCTTAGCAACGACAGCCGGCGCGATAAGCTGGACTGCAGTGGTGAAATTCACAGGTCCTAGAAATAAGCGAAACGATGGCTTACTAACAAGTGTTAGCTTTATCCAGTACTAGCAAGAAAGAGCTTCCTCAAAAATATGATTTTGGACGCAAATAGAAAGGCAAAGGGGGAAAAAACTGAAATCAAATCTGAAAATCAAACAAGTCATAATACACACTGAGTAAACACAACACTGTCATATACGAAGAATTTAAATGTTTGGTTTTAGCCTAAGTGTACATCTTTGCAAAATAATTTGCTTTCATAAACACTAGCTTTACGCTTTAACAATTTACAGGATGTCATGTTAAAATGTAGATATTTTATTTACCACTATCTAATACACAACTTATTCGGTTTTACCCAACATGATTGGAAACGGTCAATACACTTGTATTAGGATAATTCTGAAGAAGGTCACATTTAGCCCTCAATTTGGACGCAGCTTTTTATGCGAATAGCCGCTGCTTTGAGATACTGTGATCCACATTTCACAGCTGCCCAGTTGGTATACAGATGAATGCACTTCACTGTAATGATCACTAAGTACAAAGGGATTTATAGAAGGATTATTTCTAAGCAAAAGCATTCAAGCATTAAATATAAACATAAGAAGTGATAGCTGCGTAATCTGATGTGTTCCAAAGGATAGAACTATGATAGCCAGGTGAAGGAAAATGGTAAAGGGAAACATTTTTAATAACGTAGACAACATGGCTAACCTAACTCCAGCGTTAAATCTTTCATTTCAGAACAACCCACAGGCTGACATGCAGTAACCATCACCTTTTGTTCTGCATGTTTTTCAAAGAGTTAGTTTAGGAAATATACACACATGGTCCTCAATTTCTTAAAAAAAAAGGACCGAAGTACATTTGCAACATCGTCATATGAATTTACTAAAAGAAAAAGCGCCCGTGGGCCATATCTAAAACTACAGCCTGTGCAGATTTCAGAACAGCTAGATTTCACTGCTCCAATCATGGCTTCATATTTTTTAAAAATGACAAAATCAGGTTCACTCGCCGAACTAGTGGAGGTAATCATTCTGTGAGTAATTGCCAAAAAATTTCCAAATTAATTGTCATTTCCATTGATTGCTTAGACCCGAGCAGTCTTTAATCTCTCATCAATCTTAATGTATGCCACCTCGACAATAGCGGGCGATTCTCATGTGAGATTAGAGTAGGATTTGCCCTCTATTCCCAGTCTACAATATACTGTTTGCAGATGGTCAGCAGATAGATACAAAACCGCCTTGATTTCCCCAAGCTCTTTCAAAAATGGATGGAATCACCATCTCGTGTTCTCTGCCGTCTCGCCGTGCCCTTAATGCATTAACATGTAATACAGGGGAGAAATAACATTTTTCAATCACGGTGAGACATTCAATTACAATGAGAACACAGCAGCCATCTGCAATGATCTGGCATTGCACACAGCCCATGGGCTCCTATAGGAGACCCCTGATAACTTCCAGTTAATTTACATTGCAGACTTTATTAGAAAGGATTACTGCTTAATCCTATTCCCAATGTCAAGATTTTATAATTAAACTCTGCTCTCACCCCTTTACACCGTCTTCTGCACATATCTGCGCTGTACTGGCAAAGTGGCTACATCGCAAAACAACTTCACACTTGTTACTTTAGTTGAAGGCAAATTGAAAATAATATCGAAGCACCAAATTCTACACGTGGTTTAAATAATTAAAAATGAGCAGTTTCAAAGTGAAACCCTATGCAATTTAAATTATCGTAGCTGTCTCCACGCCATACTGTAATACAAAGATTAAACGCAGTGTGTTGCGCACCCACGGTACAGACATATCATGCTGTTGGTTTTTATTTCCTTGAGTTATGTATACTACATTTGGTTTTGAACACTTTGTGACTGGTCAAAATACAGCATAATAGCGAATGTCCATTACTGCTTGAAGAATACTTCATCCTTCACTTTTAGCTATTTCTCTCCCTTTGCCCTCCAATTAGCAGCCCCCGCGTCTCCCCCGTCCCGAGGAAACAAAAGCATGGCTACAGCCTGGTTTCTGCACCCTCTCGCAGCGGTGACAGCAATCCGCTCCCACTGGAGCGGAAAGCGCGATCCTTATTTTTTGCACAAGCCATAGTAGCTACCCGCTTTCTCCCCAGAACCAGCAGCTATCCTCCTTTCCGGTTCTCAGCTTGGTAACAGCCAAGCTCAGTGACCACCCCCACGGCTAAAGCAACGCCATCTGTCCTGAAATTCATTTACAAGCGAAATACTTTGGAATTTAGATACAAGACAACCGAAAGAATGAGATATCACTGTACGTACAGATCTGATGGGTTTTTTTTAAATTCTTGAGCTTCGACCAAATTCCCATCTGTGCAGGCCTAATCCTGAAGCTATCTACCGAGAGACGATTGCATTTGAACTCTTTCTTACGCGATCTGAAAACAATTTATTTATTTATGGACATTATTTCTCCTGCTTAATATGTAATTAGGACATTGCTCCCCAGATATCTAACAAATATAAGGTATAAAGAAAAATAACATTAGATACAAAGTGAAATCATACAACCGCGGTAACTTGTTTTGCGGTTTAAGGGCACGTGCCATGCGAGACACTCAAATGTGACATATCTAAATATTGCAGAGACTGACATGTAAACTCTACAGCTATGCACAATCACAAAATACTGCGGAAAAATTTAAACCATTTTAGCCTTGATTGTTTTTGTTTTGTGCCGCATTTCTGAAATCAAATTTGGCCAAAAGTTCACGTAATCATCCTATAGGTGAATATGTATTGAGCGACAAACCGTCCGCTGGAATATTTCCTTTAAAGAGAAGTTTAGAGCTGGGAATCGGGACCGAATATAAACACGTTATAAAGTTATCGGCCGCAAAAAATAACATCAGTCGTTGACGTTCCGGATAGTTTCATAAAAATCTCGACAATTATTTCATTTCATTGCAAACTCTTCAAGGTGAAAAGATTGAAGTGCAAGGAGACAAATCAAGCTCACAAGGAAATGTGGAAAGTCAAATGCTAATGTAATGTTAGAGCTCCCGATGCAATTGCGAAGGAAAATGATATTTTTATTGGCTTCATTAGGATCAGGTCAATTCATCACTGTCCCAGCAACAGTCCCAGGACTGTGCTTGGGAAATTACACAAGGAGCTTTCGTTAAAACGTTAAGCTGGTGTGAAGAAAGATAAATTATTTTACCCGCCATGTTATCAATCTCCTTCTCTTCCAGTGAAGTAAGCGTTTCGTCGTCTCCCTCCAGCAGAATTTCGCTCTCAGAGTTCTGGTTGCCCACAGCTTGGGTTCGAATGGACTGTCTGCCTTTAACCAGCACATCTTCCTCAGAACCTGCCAACACAGACCACTCAAGCCCGTGAGAAACTAAGAAAATTGGGTCCATTCCAAACAAGATCGCAGTGAAATATCTCATAACCACACACAAAAAAAAAATCGTTCACAGACAATTAGTCTAACCTTTTATTTAAAAAAAGCGAGACACTTCCACCTCTGGTCAATGTCTATAATTTCTAGTTCAAAATTGTTGCAGTTTTGTGAGAAGTTTCACTGCTGGTAAGAGAAGCTGCAATATTTCTGTGCGTTTTCAACTAATCTTATTTTAAACAGATCTATAATGAGTATTGTTCACATTTCAATTTCATAACTTCGTCATCATGTGAATGTATGAATTTATTAGGCGCCGAATATTAAAATCGAATAGCGCTGACTAGACAACAAAGGGATGGTTTTCCATTGTGCAGAGAGAATCGGGTCACCACATTAAGAAGAATCACTCCCGCCATTTCAATGTAGACCCTGGCATAAAAAGTTTGCACTTCATACATGCGTAAAAACGGTTTAGAATTCATACGTCAGTTTGTACGAAACAAAGTACAACTAAAAACATCGAGAAGAAAAATACTTTTGCAAATACACCAGGACAGAATAAAGCAGGTAACCATTATTCATGAATTGCATGCAAAGAAGTAAAATTATGCTCCCTTAAACAAAGGTATCTCGTTACGAAACTTCAACCTTTTACTCCATGTGATATTAAACACGAAAGATTGAAGATAACACGGTACAAAATCTTAGTCTTGACTGGAGTTGCACTCCACCACAAGTTTCACGTGAGGACAAATTACCATCAACCAATGGAGTACTCGTTTCAGCAGCCAAAATTTAGTGCATTCCCACCTACAATAATTGTTTCTAAGTCGCGCTCTATCGTCCTCCAATTGTACTGACTACAACGTCACGTACACAAGTACTTTTCAAACTAAAATCAATGCCACGGAGGTTAAAGAAAGAAAAGTCAGCTCACAAAACGCACCATGAAGAGATGCTTTGCTGTATTCGGCTAAATGATTAAATTACGAAAAGACGACCCAACTAAACTCAGTTCGGACTGATTTCAGATACAAGCGCACAAGTCAGACTGACAAACTAAATAAGATACGGCAGTTCCTTTTTTTCGCCGATCTTTATTAAAACCCAATAAACTTTTATGAAATAAAAAAGACACGCAATGAAATCCCCTTTAATTTTGCAATAAAAGGTTGTTCACGACGCTTAAAATGCCAAAAGTTTTTGTCTGCCGCTTAGGAATAAAGCATTAAACTTTACATTAAACGCTAAAACGGATCAGATTCATATATTAAGTAGGGACATGAAACGATTTTCTTAATGAATCGGGTTCACCTGGTGATTCTAACAGGCAAACATTCAGTTTAAATATGGACCTGGTATATTCCAGTTTTACAAAATTACGCTTCGAGATTACTTGCGCTTGAATAAGCCATTTAGAATGTTTTGCTCTAGGTATAGATTCTGATCCAACGTCATAAACGAAAATTAAACATGAACCCAAAATGCTTCCATTAATCGTCGGGTTATTTGCATTTTAAATATATTTAAATACATGTCACAAAGTATGTTCCAAAATAGCTGAACAGTTTAGCAGAAATAACTCTAATTAATGGGAGGGGAAATAACTTCATAAAAGAAAAATATTGTTCACATTTTTGCAAGTATAGTTATCACCAGGAACATTGTGATTTAATTACTTAGCAAAGTTTCAGAAATTCAGAAGATTTTGCTGTGTAGTTCTTATAATTGAACCCAACACAGTATTCTGCATGAGAGATAGTAGGAACTACCGATGCTAGAGCCCGAGATAACAAGGTGTAGAGCTGGATGAACACAGCAGGCCAAGCAGCATCAGAGGAGCAGGAAAGCTGACGTTTCCGGTCTGGACCCTTCTTGTTATCACAGTATTCTGCATGACCAGTTCTATGAAACTGGATCACATTTTCCTATTTTCTGTTTTATCTTCTGCTATTAACATTCATCAGAACATCACAACACTAAAATTCTCAAACGACTAGTTTTTAGGAAGAGGAAACATCAAAATAATGACAACCTCAAGATTCATAAACAGTTCAAAAAACTAGAAAAACATCCTGAAGTTTTCTAACTGTTGCTAGAACCAATTTCTCTGTATTTACCAAGTGGGCTTTATTCATGAAAAGGTTTTCCTACTGTTTAATTTTTAATATGTTAGCATTTCCACTAGACAATGTACTGACAAAAACCAATACAACGTTAGCCTTCTTGTTAGCAGTATCTAACAGTCATTCAGCAAATAAAGCAAAATACAACCACAACAAATCCCAAACCTTTTGCACTCCATTATGTACCAATAGTAGTGCAAATACACACCTTAGAGGAATGCAAAACATCAATACAGCATATTATGTCTATTTCTCATTACAGTATTCTGTAGGAGTGAAATGCAGTATTCCAAATCAATACATCACAAGACAAGTAAATATCATATACATCATATGCTCATCAATATTAGTTTGGGTTGACAGAAAAAGTTTCATGATTAGCAAACGAGTGCATGTGATTCAAAAATATTTCTTCACCCAATATGTAGCTGATGGAAAGCCCAAGAAGTGAGACGAACTTCTTCTGATGATGTCAAACCACTTGTCAAAACTAGTTACTTCCAAAGTGTGTCACACTGCATCAATTCAAAGCAGTTCTGCAGAATATGTGATACACTTTCTTATTGTGACCCAAATTTAACAATATATTTATCACCAAATGATCCAAACCTGTGACATTTCATGACACAAAAAAATGCAATTTCACTGCAATTATCTCAAGAAAACAAAGCAATTCAATCAATTAGCATACCACAGTAATATAGTCCCCTGTGGCATGCTAAATCTGTCATGTTGCAAATTTGTCCTCCAAATACAATGCTGTTCTTTCTCCAGATTGCTTTACAAAATACATGTAGATATCACAATATAATTTGGGTGTTTAACGGCTCAAATGGTCTCTTAAAATTCACTCAATTGCAATAAGGTCATTTTAAAAATCTACATAAAATAGGAAGTTATGGAAAGACTGAAAAAAACAATTAGGACAAGATCTAAATTGTATTCTGCAGACTTAAACTAAGCTGCTCAGTTTGTGTAAGTAAGACAAATTATCAAATATTTTTGTAAATTGTTAACTTCAAGGTGAAAAAAATTGCTTACTGTGGAAGAAGAAAATACATACAAATATTTAACATGGCCTTCCTGCAATTAACTCTCCCTTGAGGTTTTTCAGTTAGTAGAAACATTTTAGTTTCCCAGTATAAAGCACATGCAAGGGTAGTTACAGTTTATAGGCAGCAGTGGTTAGAACTTTTACTAAGGCTATTAAAAAGCCCTGACCTGCCAGCATAAGACCAAATAAAATCCAACAGACCTTGATGATAAATATTTTAATGAAAAAATATTTTCAGCTTTATATTGACCAAAAAACAAAAAAAAAAAAGTGGTGACCATGATTAAATTCTGGCAGGTGCTGCAAGCTGCACTGTGAAGATGGTTTCACATGCACCCATTTTGCACTAGCTGCAATATAACTGTCACCAGTGCAAAGTGAAAGATTAAAAAATGAAGTTAATAAAAAGCCAGCTCTTTATCAACATTAAAAAAAGACAGTATTTGAACACCAACAATCTGAACTCCTTTCATACGTACTCCTTGTTTAACCAGAAAAAATGCTGAGTTGGCAACGTAACTCAGTTTGCTATTACTCAGAATTGACACTTATTTTATAGATAAACTGTAACTACCACTGAGCAACCATCATATAACAATATCAAATAGCAAATCCAGCATAAGGTACTAAATTCTAAAGTGTATAACACATTTAGAAAAACTACGAAAAATAACAATAGTGAAACAATTTATGCTATGCCACAAAAGATGAAGTAATCCATGTAGCACGTAGATAGCAACAGTTTCAACACAAAAGGATCTATGCAGGTTCCTTCCACCAGAATCCTTTAAATGCTCTTAAAATCAGCTCTGGGACATACAATTAAATTGTCAGAATTAACAAATTTGTTTTTAACAAGAGAGTGGCCTGAAGTACAATTGTGTTCTGATATTGATTAGCAGCACAGGGAACATTATTCTTCAGGTATTTACTCTGGCACCTGTACACTAGAGGGCTTACTTTAGTACAAATCAATTCCCCCAAAAAGATGTCTCTTTTCAGTCATAAATACATAACTAGCCTCAGCAGAATGACATTGCCCTTGGATATTTTATTATGAACTGTTTTAAAGTTTTAGATTGGTTTAAACAATTGCACATATACCCAGGTTCACAAAATAAAGCAGATCTCTGTGTTTAAAATGGAGAGCAGCATTATGCCAAAAATGAAATTTAAGACTTTTTCATTATCAAACAAGGCATTGCAATCTAAATAAAGCAATTTATGAGGAAATAGTTTCTAAACTCTTTCAGCCATTCAATGATGTGTTCATCTTAAATATAATCTAATTTCAAAATGATTCTCTGCAAGAATGGCTCACATTCACAAATTCAAAGACCAAATCAATTTGCTACATAGTTGCTGTTATAAAATAGCAAGACTACACAAAGAAACAAGCATTGCGATTGTGAATATTGCAAAATAAAAATGCTTATTTCCTCAATTCTAATGCAAAATGTTCAAAACATACTGGTGTAAGTTTATGTGACCATATTATCTTATAGCAATGGTATACTTAGTGTCTGTGTTTGTAAATGCGTCCATAGAGTTCTGCATTCCAACATCAGAATGTTAGGCATTTTTATGTTCATTGGTGGCAGAACATTTGTAAAGTATTTGATGTCAAAAAATAATTCATTAATTTATTGCTAATGTTTAAATAGTTGCTTAATGCTGGAGTAAAGCTCTAACTTTTTGATTAGAGATTTTACTATTCTGATTAGTCACATTACTTTTAGGTGAAAGGGCCAGGCCACTCTACTAAAAAGAATGCTTTGATTTAT